ATTTATCCCATGTTGTTGTTGTTAGGTGCCATCAAGTCGGTGGCAACTCATAGCGACCTGATTTATGCACAGCAGAACAAAACACTGCCTGATCCTGGGCCAACCTCACTACTGTTGCCATGCTTGAGTCCATCGATGATGCCCCTTGGCCCATCCATCTCATTGGGGGTCTTCCTCTTTTTCTCTGACCCTCCACCTCTCCAAACATGATATCCTTCTCCAGCCACTGGTCCCTCCTGACAATATGTCCGAAGTATGAGAGATGAAGTTTGGCCATCTTGGCCTCCAAGGAACACTCTGGTTGCACTTCTTCCAACACAGAGCTGTTGGTTCTATGGGTAGCCCATGGCACTTTCAATATTCTCTTCCAACACCATAACTCAAAAGCATCAATTCTTCTATGGTCTTCCTTATTCACAGTTCAACTTTCAGTAATTCCATAAAATCCTTTAGTAATCAGAGGCTTGGTAGTTTTCTTCAGCTCTTTCACCTTGTTTTTCAACTCTAGTTCTTTGCACATTTCATTGATATTGTCTCCTTGAGCATCCCTTTGAAATTTTCTGTTAATCTGTTTTACATCCTCATTTCTTCCCTGCACGTCCTCTGCACTGAGTGTAGCTTTTCTACACTGAGCAACTTCCAGAGTCACTTCCAACATTCATTTTGGTCTATTCTTTCTTTACTGCCTTTTTAATCACCTTTTATTTCCTTACCGTATGATGTTCTTAATATCACCCCATAACTCTTCTGATCTGCAGTCATTAGTGTCTAATGCATCAAATCTCTTCTTGAAATGGCCTATAAATTCAGGTGGGATATAATCAAGATCATATTTTTGATCTTATGAACAATGAAACAATGAAAATCTTATTTTCATTGTTCAGCTGAATTACTCATTTGCAAATTCAGCCTCAGCCTGAACTTGCAAATGAGCAACTGATGGTCTTTCCCACCGTCTGCCCTGGCCTTGTTTTGGCTGATGATATTGAGCTTCTCCATGGTCTTCTCCTGCAATGTAGTCAAATTGATTCTTATTCATTCCATTTGTTGAGGTCCAAGTGTATAGTTGGTAGAATTCTTCAATGTCATCATTATTAGCATTAGTGGTTGCTGTGTGAATTTGAATAATAATTGTGTTAGCTGGTCTTTCTTGTAGGAATATGGCTGTCATTGTATCACTAACAGCATTGTACTTCAAGAAAAATATTGAAATACTCCTTTGATAATGAATGTGATGTCATTCCTCTTAAATTTGTCATTCTTGGCATAGTAAATCATGTGACTACCTGATTCAAAGTGATTTATGAGAGTCAATTTCAGCTCACCAATGCCTAGGATAAGGACCTCTGGTGGTATAATCGCTACAAATTGGGCTGCGAACCTTAAAGCCAGCCGTTCGAAACTGACAGCTGTTATGCAGGAGAAAGATGAGGCTTTCTGCTCCTGTAAAGATTTACAGCCTTGAAAACTCTGTACAGGGTCACTATGAGTCAGAACTGACTCCACAGCACATCACGAATGAACAACGAATGCCTAGGATATTGATCATAGTGTGTTCCATTATATTTTTGATGGTTTCCAGTTTTCCCAGATTCATATTTCACGTATTCTACATTTTGATTATTAATGGATGTTTACATCTGTTTCTCCTCATTTTGAGTTGTGGCCCATCAGCAAGTGAAGGTCCTGAAAGCTTCATTCATAGCATTAATGTCAACTCTACTTTGAGGAGGCAGCTCTTCCCCAGTTGCATTTTGACTGCCTTCCAACCTGAGGGACTCATCTTCCAGCCCAATATCAGACAATGTTCTATTACTATTCATAAGATATACAGTGGCTAATCTTTTAGAAGTAGTTTACCTCTCCTTCATCAAGTCTTTCTTAGTCTGGAAGCTTTACTGAAACCTGTCTGCCATGGTTGACCCTGCTGGTATTTAAGACACTATGGCATAGCTTCGAGTATCATAGGACTTGACAAGGCTTGAGGTGAGGATGACTCTAAGCTGCACTATGAAATGAAGAAATGCAGGATTTACTCTTGCTTTTACTCAATTCCATCTTATAACTGAATATTTTCTTACTGGCTCTCCCCCAGGATCCCATGCCCTCGTATCCCCTTTGACTGATCAAAACCCAAAATGGCCAACCCACACTGTCCTTTCCCTCCCTTGATCTTCCCACCCCACCACATCAGGGGATGATGGAGGCTCTTGGTAGCCTCTATTTAAAATTATGTTTTTACATTATTAGCAAAAGAGCAGTACAAATGAGTCAGAGAGTCCTGAATATAAATTTTCATTAATGGGAGTTGACAATTAAAATTAAATTAGACATAACAGAATTCATCCGACAGCTATTAATAATATACATATGGTAATTAACATTAATAATAAGTACTATTATTAGACAAACCAAGTTCCTCCTCTTTGTTAATTTTCTATAATCAGGGCTGACAGCTTCCTGTAATAATGCATGCAGTTTGCTCCCAAACTCAGACAGACTGACACACAAACTCCTGAAAAGAGAGAGGAAGGTTAAGAGGAGCGTTGGAGTCATCTGGAGAAGGTCATGGAGGGCGTGAGGAAGTGTGGTAAAAAGAGGGTCTTAGGGACCCCTGTAACTAGTGAGAGGCGAAAGAGGCAGAAGTGGAGATGTTTTGATGTGGCTTACCTTGAACACTTTCTTTGTCCCATTTTCCCTGCATCAGCTATCACATATATTGTCACTGTGTTCACTGGGGATATCCGAGGAGCTGGGACCAAATCCAAAATCTACTTGGTCATGTATGGAGCCAGAGGGAAAAAGAACAGCGGGAAGGTCTTTCTGGAAGGTGGCGTGTTTGACCGTGGCCGCACCGACATCTTCCACATTGATTTGGCTGTACTCCTCAGTCCCCTGAGTCGGGTTTCCATTGGGCATGGGAACGTGGGCGTCAACAGAGGCTGGTACTGCGAGAAGGTAAGGAATGCCGCCAAGCGGAGCCTTCCCTCTCATCTGCTTTCCTCTGTCACTTGCAAATATATGCTCTAACTTGACCCTACTTCTACTTTGGATCAGCTACAGAGCACATGGTGATCCATTTTTGGGGGCATTTTGTGTGGTAACATGTCCATCTGTCTTGTCTTGATGGTGACTGGGAATGGGGCAGTTCTGTACATGCCAAACACAGGTATGCTATCAGGAAGGTGTTCAATCAGAGTTTATAGGCCATCCTGATTCCTGGTGTCTATAAGTATTTGTAAAAATATGTTTCTATTGTGGAACATTTATACTTAAATTATATTTATACTTAAATAACATTTATACCTAAATTATACATAATATAAAACCAACAAAACTAAACCTACTGCCATCAAGTTGGTTCTGACTCATAGAGGCCCTCCTATACAGGGTTTTCTGAGTCTAAAAATCTTTACGGGAACAGACAGTTTCGTTTTTCTCTCATGGAGCAGCTGGTGGGTTTGAACTGCTGACCTTGTGGTTAGCAGTCAAGTGCCTTACACTAAAGTACCACCAGGGCTCCATATATATATCATCTAATGGTGTCTGCTCCTAAAAAGCTTTACACTATGAACCAGAGTTGACTCAATGGCAGTATGTGTGGTATCTATATGTATGTATGTGTGTATTGTTGTTAAGTGCTATTGAGTCGTTCCTGACTCATAACAACCTTGTATAAGGTTTCTGAGGAGCATCTGGTGGGTTTGAACTGCCGACCTTGTGGTTAGCAATCCAGTGCTTATATAGTACAGTGCCACATGAGGACTCCAGATATATGTATATGGGTGTACATGTTGTTGTATATAATTGCTGTCAAGTTGTCTGCAACTTATAGTGACCCTGTATAGGGTTTCCAAGGAGTGGCCGCTGGGTTTGAACTGCTGATCTTGTGATTAGAAGTCCAATGCTTATCCTACAACATCACACCATAACACTATGTATATTTATGAGGCATTATTGTTGTTAAGTGCCATTGGGTTGGTTCTGACTCACAGTAACTCTGTATACAGTTTCTGAAGGGTGGCTGGTGAGTTTGAACTGCCGACCTGTGGTTCAAACAGACCTTATGGTCCAGTGCTTATTCTAAGGTGCCACAGATAATTTTGTTGTTGTTGTTGTTAAGTGCCACCAAGTTGGTTCTGACTTATATGTAGAAGACACTAAAAGGAAACCTCCATTTTATGCATCACCTGTGTAAGAAATAGAATATTTCCAGTGCTTTTGGCATTTTTCTGTCCCTCCGTATCATATATTCCTCTCTTCCCCAAAGGGCATGCAATATTGTACATGTACATATTATTTGTAATTTGCAGTTTCCATTCATTATTATGCTTTAGACATTCATCTGAATTGATGATTTCTCTTCTGAAAGTTCCCCATTGTATGAATTGATTACTCTTTGTCTGTTCTTCTGTCAAGGATCATTGGCTCTCTTCAGCTATATATCATTTTCTGTTTAGCCCATTATCCTAGTTCACTAGAACTGCTGTAACTGAAATACCACAAGTGGATGAAAACAACCAGAAATTTATTGTTTCAAAGTTTAGGAGGCTAGAAGTCCAAATTTAGAGTGTCTGTGCTTGGGGAGGCTTTCTCTTCAACCGTTTTGGGGAAAAGTCCTTGTCTCCCCTCAACATCCGTAGGTCCAGAATTCCTTGGATAGACCCATACGTCTTTGCGTCAATCTTCCCTTGGATCTAGGAGCTTCACAGTGCAGGGACCCCAGGTGCAAAGAGGTTCCTCTGAACTCAGCTCATTTCTCTCTCTTTTTATATCTCAAAAGAGATTGATTTAAGATACAACCTAATCCTGTAGATTGCATCTGACCTCATTAACATCACAGAAGTGAGAATTTACCACATAGGATAATTCCATCAGATTAACATTTATCTGGTGTGGTGCTACAGGATAATACACTGGACCACAATGTTGGTTTGAACTGATAGGTTGGTGGTTCAAACCCACCAGTCACTCCTTAGAAACCCTGTACAGGATTCTCTGAGTCAGATCTCATTCAATAGCACTTTACAACAACAAGGGCTTATCATATCAAGTCATATCATGGGGCTGCTTGTATTATGTTAGATCTCATCATGGAGGTGATAGCTACATTTTAACTGCAAAACCGCTGAAATCCGAGCCCAGTCAAGTTGACACAAAACCTTAGCTATCCCACTCATCTACTGAGTTTTTATTTCGATAGTTTTATTTTCATATCCAGAAGCTATATTTGTTTCTTTTTTGTATTTACTCAGTCATTTCTTTGTGAGTGATGACAATTACAGTAATTAATTTGGTATTTTAGTTATTTGAGCTAACATTAATTACGATTATATGGCATACATGAAGAAATACAGTGTTGAAAGATAGTGCTGTGTTTCTTGTTGTAGTTAAATGCTGTTGAGTTGGTTCTGACTCATAGCAACACTGTATAGGGTTTCCAAGGAACAGCTAATGAGTTTGAACTGCAGACATTGTGGTTCAAACTGACCTTGTGGTCCAGTATTTTATCAAACAGTGCCACACCAGGACTCCACGGTATTCAGTTGTGGTTAAGTGCCATCGAGTTGATAC